ACTCAGCATCCAATTTTCCCATGCACATGAGCCAAGTGAAAAGCCTTTGCTATGGATTACAACTCAACGTGAGGAAAACCTCACGACTGGACTAGTGGGTAATACCATGATAAACGGAGAAAAGATCGACGTCGTTGTCAAGGATTTTGTCTTGCTTGGATCCGTAATCCATGCTTTTGGAAGCAGCAGACAAGCGCTCAAACATGATGCATCCCATTGGGAAAATCTGCTGCACAAGAACTCTTCTAAAAGGTTGAAAAGGAAGGATGTTACTTGGAGAACTAAGGTGCGCCTGATCCAAACCATGGCATTTTCCATCACTTCATATGCACATGAAAGTTGGACAGCCCGTGCGACAACTGACCTCCAATTCCCAACAGCTGTTTGTCTTCAGGCTCTCTGCCTCAGACACCATGCCCTCCACGTCCAGTCCTCCAAGACCAGCAGCATGTCACTTGTTTGCATTGCCCCCGCCACACTCCGCACACTGCCCACTCCCCACCCTGTCTGCAAAGCAGTAGCAGGCAGTTAGGGCTGTGGAAGAGGCAACCGTGGGAGGCATGACCGTGGGCAGAAAGGCCACCAACCATATTGATCCCAGGCCCCTCCAGTTGCCAGAGCCCCATAGCTGCCAGCTGTGCCTCTAGACCCCAGGTCTGCTCAAGTCAAGCCCAGCTGCAAGACATTTGGGTCCAGAGCACAAATACCAAAGATACCGCAGTTCTGAGAGTCAAGAATTCCTAGACCTCCTCCTTGAATAACATGCAGAACAAACACCATGGTCTTGGGAACCTAACCCTTTCATAAAGGAGGAGTGGTTCTAGGTGAGGCTCTGGCTACAAGCCAAGGAAAGGCGGAGGCTACAAAAGCTGGAGCCGAGAAGGATCTCCCTTAGCAGACCTCCTTTGTTCTTGTCTGTGTTGGTGTTTCTGCCTGCTTTCTCTCAGTATGTTTCCCATTGGACCTGTGATTTCTGGGAACAAGACATTGATCTTGGTGAGAGACCCTTAATACCTAAAAGCACAAGGGAGAGTGAGAGACATTCTTCCACTCCTCTCTGAGGCCCGCCCGCGCTGCCCACCGGAGCCCAGCGCCGAGCAAGGTCAGTCTGAGCTGAGGCTGCTGTGAGGGCATGGGGTGGGGGTGGGAGGAAGATGCTGCGACTCAGGTCCAGACATGTCCCCATTGCCGCACCCAAACTGGTGAGACTTGAACATGGTCCCAATTAGGCTCCCATTTACTGGATAACCGAAGCTATTTTCAAAAGCAGAGAGGTGAACAATCACACCATTGTTCTAGAAGTCGAGCTTTATCTTTGGCTATGAAAGGCAATGAAGACAGACCCAGAAGATTCCCACATTTCCCTGGTGCGGAGACTTGTAGCTAACAAAGCATACATTCCTGCTCCAGATACAGCCTACTATTCACAGCTAAGAAGCTATTTGTCCAGTTATTAAATACCACCTCATCTGTCCTATCCCAGTGTCCTCACAGGAGAGGCAGCACATTTATTTCACCTGGTCTTAGCGTAGCCACTGGGACGGTTGTAGAGCTGAGGAACCTCTAAGTTACTCTCCAGAAGCACATACGTGTTACACCTGAACCAAGAACCACAGCCTGCTTTTTGGTGCTGGCTAACCTTCAGTATCTCTGGGCTTTTGTTCGCCCTATATGAAATGAGACTAGCAATACGTGTCAGTGAGCTAATACATGTCTCACACCAGGGCTTGGTCAGGACTAACACTGACGAAAAAGGGTGTTGCCGTGATGGAAGTGCTCTGTGGCTGCGTTCTCCCATTAGCCGCATGCGCCTATGGAGCGCTGCACATGGAGCTTTCCCAACCAGAGCACCGAGTTTTCACTGCACTCTTGGAGGGTCTTCCTCTTTGTCACAGACCCTCTACTTACCAAACATGATGTCCTTCTCCAAGGATAGGTCCCTCCTAATGACATGTCCAAAGTGGCAGTTCCTGGTACATCCAGTATATACAATACATTATATGCCATATATTACATACGCTATATATCATATGTACCATGTTATCTTATAATACATACAACAGCTGTATTATATACCATATATTATATACACTACATGATATGTGCTATATTATAATATATACTATACTACATACTACAATTATATCATATATGCTATATATTATATAGTAAAGAGCATCATTTTACTACATATTACAGACTACAATATATTATGCCTTATAATAAATATATTGTATACTGTTATATGCTATAATATATTATGTATTACATATGATCTATATTATGGTACATATATCTTATATACTAGTCCATGGCATATGGCCAGTGGCTACTCTATTAGACAGTAAACCCCAGAGTTTAATAAGCAGTAGCTATTATGACAGTAAAGAGACCCAGGGGCACAATGGTTAAGTGTGTGGCTGCTAACCCAGAGGTCAGTCGTTTGTCCTCATCCGCTCCGTGACTTGTTTCCTGGGGAGAAAAGACCTGGTGGTCTTCTGCTATAAAGATACAGCCCAGGAAACCCTCTAGGGCAGTTCTGCTCAGTGACATAAGGCCAGTGGCATCAACTCAAGAGCGTGCAGCAATAGTTTTACAATAGGAAGACAATATAGTTCCAAAAGTCAATCTATTTCCAAAAAGTCAATCAATGAAAAACCCATGCAGATCTGACCACAGGATTTCCATTGGACCAGGTAGGTGGCATTCTGTCCAGCTGTGCATGAGGTTGCCAAGAACCGGGGTCCGACTCAATGGCAACCACAATCATTGCAATGATCAGGCAGTATCTTAATGCTTCATTATGATGTTAGCTTATCTTTTATTTTCACTTAGAAGAACCAGGGGGAAAGGGGAGGAATTTAGTCACTAGTCTCCTAATCGTTTTCCCGTCTCCATTTCAAAAAGAAGCAAGTTCGTCCATTAGGTACCTCAGAGGCATGAAGGCCACCTTGCTTCTGCCTGTGCAGAGCTCACTAAGCATCACTCCTGGCGAAAACCAGACCTGTGGCCAAGGAGAAGTGAGCCTGGGGCTTAGTGATCCATGTGCAACTCCGCAGTTGCACCCTAGGAGGAGCTGGACCTCAGAGGAGAAGGACTGAGTGTGGTAGCCACTAAGGCCATCTCTAGGACCTCCAGCCAGACTGACTTTCATTCCCAACCAGCTTGGTGGCCGTGTTTAAAGAAAAAGGCGTTCCTTCCATGCCCAAGGTGAATTAAATTAGATTCCTCCACATGTCATTATTGTTATCATCTCCACCAGGAAATAAGCAGTCCCCAGGGTTTATTTCATACTGATGTAGCCCAGCATGTGACATCCAAAGGTCATGCATCGATAGGTGGGACTGAGTCACAGACAGGTGGGGAATGGAAGAGAGGGTAGATGCGACAGTGGACACTACCTCTAGGAGCGGGGGAGGGGGGAAAGTGGTGTCCTCTTGCTGGCTGGAGGCAATCCAGTTGCCCACCCCGGGACTCACTCTGCCTGCCCTTAATAGAATCACATTATTTGGCATAGTGTTTTACAACTTGCAGCCTTGCTCATTAATAACCTTGGAACTGCAATAACTAATTCTTTCTGCCAGGTAATTAGAAAAGAAGATGGATTTTATTCATTACATTATTATCCTCATAGAGTAACCTCCCACGGAGCAGGCAAGGAGGGGAAACAACTTGCTGGCTGGCCAATATTTTCTCTTTAGCTTGCTGACTTCACACTCCTCTAATAGTCCTCATGTGAACTGTAAGCCCCCAGGAGGCTTTGATGTACAAATGTCTCTCTCTCTCTCTCTTCCCACGATGGTAGCCACTAGCTACGTGTTAACTATTTAAGTGTAATGTACGAACTAATTTAAAAATAATTGAAGTTCATTCAAATTCATATCCTCGGTGGCATTAGCCAATAGCAAGCGCCTGCCCTGGAAGAGAGAGCAGAATTGGAACTCACTGCATTGGTGGAAATAGTCTGCCCTCCAGCCCGACTCCGGAAAAGAACTCTTGAATGTGCATGTAGGTAAAGGTTTCAAATAACCCTCTTTTTTTCCCCCTGGGGGTGTGTGGTACGCAATCATTTACTTCACATGAGAAACAAACAAGGGCAAACCTTAACGCTCTTCCAAATCCTAAAGGCTCAGAATCTAGAGTTATAATTTGATGCATCAGTCACTCACAGCCCCAAATGCAAAGCTAAATCCTCCCATGCACACAGCACGTTGCTGTCCTTTGAAAGCCTCAAGGGTTTTGCGTCCCTGGGACTGTTTGAGACGCACTTATCCCACAAAGGTGATGAGAACATGGGGCTCTGTGCCTAGGGTGGGGACAGGTGCTGAGATGGATTGAATTTACTGCAATTTGCAGCTCGCCCCAGGGAGACGAAGCCTATAAAAGGCGAGTGAAAAGGGGAGTTGCAAGTAATGAAGGCATTCAGCTATCACCTCTCTTGGGGGAACAGGGCTCAGAGCTGAATTGTCTGGTTCCACTGTCTACACCGCCTGATTATCCAGATAATGGTGTGGTGCTCCCCCTCATTTTCCAAGTGATGCTATGCATGAGGTAGCACAGGGGCTGCCGCTGCTACACATGAGCTTCGCGGTGCAACACCACCGCCCATGGGAGGCCTTGATCCCTTTTTAATAGGTGCCAGCTGCAGCATGCCTACACAGACTTCTAAAAGCAGCCGGATCAGAGCGGAATCATTTAAGCTCTCTCCTAAAGGACTAGAAACAGCAGCTACATGGAGGCACTGAGTGTGAGCAGCCAGCCAGTGGGCAGCCCTGGGTTCCAGTCCAGCCTGGTCTCCATCCAGCCGCTGACCCATGGGACTGAGACCAGCCCTTGGCAGTGCGCTACCGGGCTGGTACGGGACAACTGTCCGGGGTCACATTCAGGGCTGGAGTACTCAGCCAGCACAGGCTCACCTGTGCCTCTTTACCAAGCTGTCGTGGGCAATTCCACACGGGTTTCACTGTAGATCAGTAAGTAAGCTGTGCAGGCACACTTACCTGGACGACTGGGTGCTCTGTGCCTCTCGGGGACTGTCGGTTTGGAAGAGAAGTTTTGATTCCGTAGGAAGATCCTGAGGGGAGAGAGATTCATTAGTGTAGTGGGGGAAAATAAGTGAAATTGCTCCCTTACAGATTGGTAAATAAGCACAAGTAAGGCAGTACAACACCGGCTGCAGCAGCCATAGAGACGGCCTGCTCGGAGAACGCTCAACATGCACTACATCATGAAAGCTTCCAACTGCGCTGGGAGGGAGCGGGAGGGGTCACAGGTAGGGCTTATTTCACAGTAGCTCAGCCAAGTCATGTGACAACCAGAGGTCACGTGATAATGGCATCAGAGGCCAGGTTTGAACCGAGGTGAACTGACAAGTTCTATGAGTTGATCCAACCCTGTGCAGAGTTTCCTGTCAATATTTGTGGCTATCCATCCAGCCACCCGGTCTTTTCACCCCACCTAAGTGGTTTATTGGTTAAGAGGATGGGGTCTGGAGTCAAGCTATATAGATTTGGCTACCTGTGAGGCATTATATACTCATTTAAAGACCGGTTTCCCGGTCTTTAAAAAGGAGATGAAATTGTGTCTGGCAGAGGCCCTGGGTAGTGCGAACAGTTAAAAAGCTTGGCTGCTAACCGAAAGGTTGGTGGTTCCCGGGCACCAGGAAGCACTTCAGGAGAGAGATTTGGAGATCTACTTCAGAAAATCAGCCACTGAAAACTATGGAGCAAAGTGCTCCTTCGACACATTTGGGGTCTCTGTGAATCAGAGTCCACTTGATGGCAGTTGGTTTGGCTTTGTTTTGTTATGCAGAAATGCAGACTCTTAGACCCTACTGCAGATCCTGAGTCAGAAAGACAGGGTTTTTTACACAACAGAGTTTGAGAAGCACCTTTCCATCCTAGAAAAGAGTACACTCAGATGAATTCTTTTGCACAATACATACAACACCCATTCCGAAGAAAGATAGTCCAACAGACTGAGGAAATGATAAAAAATATCACACAGAAGTAAAATTTCAAAGATAATTTCAAAACAGTTGCAACAGCACATGGGCAGGAAGCTACCAGAAGTTACAGTGGTGTCAGAAGAGGACATGGAGTGAGGATGTTATTACAGACACTTGGCAGATCTTGGCTGAAAGAAAGAATACCAGAAGGAGATTTACCCTTGCTATCAGCTCCTCATTTTTAACCTCCCTCCCTCCCCAGCTCCTCATTTTTAACCTCCCTCCTCCTGAGTCCTTGAAAATTTATAAATTATTATTACTTTTTCATACCTTACACTGACCGATGTCTCCCTTCACCCACTTTTCTGTTATCAGTCCCCCTGGGAGGAGGTTATATGTAGATCACTGTAATCGCTTCCCCGTTTCTCCCCCCACCTTCCCCTTTCCCTCCTGGTACCACTACTCTCATTATTGGTCCTGAGGGGTTTGTCTGTCCTGAATTCCTTGTGTTTCCAGCTTTTATCTGTACCAGTGTACATGCTCTGGTCTAGTCAGATTTGTAAGGTAGAATTGGGGTCATGTTAGTGGAGTGGGGAGGCAAAGCATTAAAAAATTAGAGGAAAGTAGTATGTTTCATCGGTGCTATACTGCACCCTGACTGGCTTGTCTCTTCCTGTGGCCCTTCTGTAAGGGGATATCCAATCCAATTGTCTATAGATGGGCTTTGGTCTCCACTCCGCACTCTCCCTCACTCACATTGATATGATTTTTTGTTCTGGGTCTTTGATGCCTGATCCCTGATCCCATCAATACCTCATGCTCACACAGGCTGACGTGCTTGTTTCATGTGGGCTTTTCTGTTTCTCAGCTTGAAGGCTGCTTGTTTCTCTTCAAGCCTTTAAAATTCCAGATGCTATATCTTTTGATAGCTGGGCACCATCAACTTTCTTCACGACATTTGCTTATGCACCCACTTTGTCTTCAGTGATCATGCCGGGAAGGTGAGCATCATAGAATGCCAGGTTATTAGAACAAAGTGTTCTTGCATTGAGGGAGGACTTGAGTAGAGGCCCAATGGCCATCTGCTACCTTAATACTTAACATATAAATATATGTACATAGATTCATTTCCCTATTGTTATATATAAACATGCTTATACATGTACATGCCTATATTTAGACCTCTATAAATGTCCTTTGCCTCCAATTTCTTTCCTCTATTTACTTTCTTCTTCTCCCACTATCATATTTGGCCTTCATTGGGGTTTCAGTAATTCCTCACTGTTACATTGCCCTTGATCAAGCCCCACCAGGCATCCTTGCCATCAATTTTAGAACATTTGTTGTTCCCTTGTCCCTGGGTTTGTTGACACCCTCCTTCCTTTCCCCCGCCTCCCCCTCTCCCGTGTCCCCTCAGAAGCGTCAGTCCCATTATTTTCTCCTCCAGATTGTTTATCCCACCTATCTTATCTAGATGGACATGCAAAGACAATAATAAGCACAAAAACAAGAGAGAGAAAAATGAAACAACAAATCAAAAACAATAACAAAAGAAAAGTCTATAAATAGTTCCAGATCTGTTTGTTAACCTTTAGACGTGTTTTACAGTCGAGTCTGATGGGGTGCCATGCCCTGGCCCCAAAGTCTATTTTTGGTATTCCCCAGGCACTTCATTGCTTTGTTCCCCTTGCTGCTCTGTTGCAAGCCCTTAGCATTTCACCCTGGTGTGGTGGGGTCAGATCAGGAACAATTCCCACATTGTGCCTCCAGTGTTGTCCCTCATAGCGTTATGGGTCACTGAGGGATGTCGTGTCTCATGATGGAGCCAGCCCTATGGTCCTCTCTGTGCATTGGCTGCTCTGAGCAGGAATATCATCCTCAAGGCTTGGTGGGCCAGGGTATGTTCCAGTCTCTTTCCTTCCCTCCTTGTTTGCTCCTGTGTGCTCTGATCAGATGCTCCCCTCTCCCTGAGCTGTAACTTCAGTGCTGTCCTCTGAAGTCAATATAGCATTTTATCATTAGCCAAAAACAAGGCTCCAGGAATTGAAACACCAATTGAAATGTTTCAACAAGTTGATGAAGCACTGGAAACACTCACTTCTCTATGCCAGGAAATTTAGAAGGGAGCTACTTTTCCAATTTACTAGAAGAGATGCATATTTGCATTCCAAAGAAATACGATCAAACAGAATGCTCAAACTATACAATAATATCTCTGATATCATATGCAAGTAAAATTTTGTTGAAGATCATCCAACAACAGTTGTACAAGTACATTGAAAGAGCGCTCCCAAGATTCAGGCCAGATTTAGGAGAGGCCATGGAACAAGGGATATCATTGCTGATGTCATAGGGATCCTGGCTGAAAGCAAAAAATACCAAAAAGATGTTTATTTGTGTTTTATTGGCTATGCAAAGGTATTCGACTGTGTGGATCATTAAAACTATGGATAACTTGAGAAGAATGGGAATTCCAGAACACTTCATTGTGCTCTTGCAGAACTTGCACATGGGTCAAGAAGCAGCTGTGTGAACAGAACAAGGGAATACTGCATGGTTTAAAATCAAGAAAGGTGTGTGACAGGGTTGCATCCTCTCACCATACTTATTCAATCTGTATGCTGAGTAAGTCATCAGGGAAGCTGGATTATATGGATTACATGCAGATGACAAAACCTTGCTTGCTGAAAATGAGGACGACTTGAAGACCTTGCTGATGAAAATCAAGGATTTCAGCCTTCAATATAAACTATGTATGACTTAATGTAAAGACTAAAATCCTCACAACTGGACCAATAGGTAATAATATGATAAACAGATAAAAACTTGAAGTTGTCAAGAATTTTGTCTTGCTTGGATCAATGCTCATGGGAGCAGCAGTCAAGAAATCAAAAGATGAGTTGCATTAGGTAAACTGGCTGCACAAATCCTCTTTAGAGTGTTGAAAGGCCAGGATGTCACATTGAGGACTAAGGTTCGCCTGACCCAAGCCAGGGTATTTTCCACTGCCTCATATGCATGCGAAAGTTGGACACTGAATAAAGAAGACTGAAGAAAAATCAAAGCATTCAAATTGTGGTGCCGGTAAGAACATTGAAAGTGCCATGGACTACAAAAAGGACAAAATGATCTGTCTTGGAATACTTATAGCTAACATGCTCCTTAGAGACAAGGATAGCAAGACATCGTCTTACATACTTTGGACATGTTGTCAGTGGAGACCAGTCCCTAAAGAAGGACATCATGTTGAGGATGAGGCACTGGAAGCACTCATTCATCTATGCCTCTTGGGGATGAGTTATAATTTTCTCTAATAAAATAATAATGATGCCTCTAAAGTGAACCAGGGAAATATATACCCCCCCAAAAAAACCCAAAACCCAAACTCACTGCCATTAAGTCAATGCTGACTCATAGTGACCCCTGTGGGTTTCTAAGACTGTAACATGAGTAGAAATCCCAGTCTATCTCCCATGGAGTTGCTGATGGTTTTGAACTACCTACCATGTGTATTGCAGCCCAACGTGTAACAACTGCACCACCAGGGCTCCTTAGGGACATTTATAAACCATAGATATATGAATGGATTTTGAGCTTGCATTTATTTGTATCCCTAATCTAAGAACAATTAGTTCTTATGGCAACGCCCTGCTCAACACTTGTCCTCATGAAGAGAACACTGAAGACATGGGTGATATAGCAAAGTGTGGTGAAGAAAGCAGATGGTGCCCAGCTATGTGAAGGAATAGTGTCAGGCATCTTAAAGGCTTGTCTTAAAGCAAGTAGTCATCTAAGTGAGGTGTCAGATAAATACACAAGGAAGAAGCACGCCAGCCTGTGTAATCCCAAGGATTGTAAATAATAAAATCCAAATCCACAGGAGCAAATGACTTAGAGCTTAAATTCTGACTGCTCAGTTTGCAGAAGGCTATGGATGACAGTGAAAGCCTAAAACCCATATGCAGAGTCCCCCATGTGAATTAAACTTCTGATGAATACCATCTGAGAATGGGCCAGGGATGGACATGGCTTTGTTACCAGACAGAATGCATCATAGGGTGGATTACTGCAGTTGTAGCTGTGTCAAAATGCTACACTTTGTCATCTGATTTCCCTTTTGATCTATG